TTTGTTTTAATTTTGCCCATGGGTAGATTGATTTAGGACCCAGCTGGAGGCCCTTGGGCAAGATGAGTATAAAGTAATTTTTGAGATTTTGGCAGGAAGCTCCTGAGACCCTAGAGAGCCTCTTGGCTTATTGCTTTTTTAACCTTTGTGCTTGAGGTTTAATCCTCTGAACTGTTTTAAAATTGCCTTGAGAATTGCTTCTACCTGAGGGTACTGAAGTATGATTTTAGTAAAAGGACTCTTTGCTTTTTAAACCTTCTGGTTCTGAGGGGTCACTTGTCCCTGATGTAGCATGGCAATCCCTGAAATTCCCTCTTCCATATTATGCATTCCAGCCAAACTGGCCTTTTCTCTGTTCTTCACATGAAACTCCATCTCTCATCGCACTGTCTTTGCACTAGCCGTCCCCCATGCCTGGAATGTCTTCCCTCCTCACCTTGGCCTCATAGAATTCACTTCTCCCTTCAGGATGCAGCTCTGGGACCAGTATCTCCATGAAACCTTCGCTGATTTCCCCTGATCAATAACTAGAGTCTTTCCTCCCAGATTAGCTTGTATTAAACTACTTTGTATTTGTTTGTAGTCATTCTTTTTATATTTATTTTTTATGTATTCGAATGTCTTCACAGTAGGGATTGTTTCATTCATTGTATTTGTAGCCTATCCTGATGTCTGGCACGTAGTATGCACTTAATAAATGCTTGTTGATTGATGAGCTCTTCTTACTACGCCAGTAGAAAGGTTTGGTTTTTTTTTTAAAGAATAATAGCAAGAGATTCAAAGCAATGGTCTAGATATTGGGGTTTGGGGGATTCAGCTGAACAAGAGAGTACAAGTGCAGATGTGATAAGATGTCTTTATGCTGAATTTGTTTAGATGTTCTATCTCTATTATTCAGTTATATGCTCCTTGAAAACAGAAACTGGGTTATTTGCCATCTTTGTTTCTCTAGCACTGAGTTGTACATGCAGGTGGTACCTAATGAATGATTGCTAACTATTTGAGGAGGTGGCAGGATCCTCCCAAGCCCCTAGTAGCTGCCTGTGTATTAGGGGTTAATTAATAAATGGGGAGAGGAGATGACAGTGGATATTTATGTGATTGACTTGATACAGCTTTGGAAGATATTGAAAGACCAAGAAAGACAATGTCCTGTGTCATGTGTGAAGGAACATATTAAAGTTTGTAACCTGAGGTGTTTTGTCTCTGAACAGATAACATGCCTGGACATTTCTAGTGGAGGAGGCCTTGGAGTATCCACCAGCACTGATGGAACCATGAAAATCTGGCAGGCAGCTAATGGAGAGCTCAGAGTAAGTGAATGGAGGGATTTTTGGGTCTTACCAAAGAGTAGTTTGAGAACCAGTTATTTATTGTTGCTGATAGTAGTGGCAGCAGGATGAGGGGTGTGGGGGTGCGGAGGGTGGCTCTGTTCAAAGGATGCTGGTTTAATGATCTTCAGTTGTAATAATAATAATAACAATAATAATGGGATCATAGGCTTAAGAGCTGAAAAGGTCCTTTAAAAGAGGTCATCTGGGCCAACAAACTTAATTTTATGGTTAACGAAACTAAGGCTCAGGGTAAAATGAACTAACCAAAGTCACACAAATAATAGGTACCAGAGCTAGGAATCAATTCCAGCTCTTGTCTCCTGATTCAGTTTTATATGCACTTCACTGTACTTCCTCATAATGATGGGTCATATTTATATAGTACATGAAGGTTTACAAAGCACTATATGTGCTCACAGTATCCCTGTGAAGTAGGTAATGCAGATATTATTATCCCTATTTTATAGATAAGGAACTGAAGGCTCAGAGAAGTTAAGGGATTTGTGCAAGACTTCATGTCCATCCATTGTTTGCTCTGGGATACAAACTCAGATATTCTGTCTTAAACTCACATACTCTGTCTCCCACTCTGACCTTCTTTCCGTGATAACATATTCTCTGAAAGAATTTCAGTGGTCTTCTTTCTCATTTATTAGACTGAAAACCTTCTTAATGGACATGTTATGGTCCATCAGATATAAAGCGAGTTAGGGGCATGCAGGAATAGTACTAGAAAATGAATAAATGAACCGCCTCTTGTCTGTGAACACCTTTTAGCTGTTGGGTTTTGTGACCACTGTGCTGTCCTGGCCATATCACATAGGCTTAAGCCAAGCTTTCCTACCTGACAGTATCTGGTTAAAAGGAATCCCAAGTGCCTGGGGCAGCTAGGTGACACAGTGGATAGAGCTCCAGTCTTGCAGTCAGGAGGACCCAAGTTCAAATCTGGCCTCAGATGCTTGGCACTTACTAGCTGTGTGACCCTGGGCAAATCACTTAACCCCGTTGCCTCATCAAAAAAAAGCAAAAAAAAAAAAAAAAAGGAATCCTAAGTCTCAATAGCTCTTAACACCTAGAATCAGCCCTGGAGGCACTTTAATATCAAGATTCTTACTTAAGTACTTCAGGGGTGCCTAATTCCATCAGTATGAATATTTCTTCCATTAGAGCAGATTGAAGTTCTTTGACTTAGTTGGCAGATTGATCTATGGATCTTAAAAAATGTATTACCTTGTGGCTTACCTGGTGAAGAGTCTCTTCTAACTTAGTGGGCAGGTCCTAAGAGGCACGTAGACTGTTGCTGGGCTTGTCCTTAGAGCCTTTCCTGCTTGGTGGGAAGTGTTAGAACTTGTACTATGCTCACATAACCTTTGTGAATCTGTCCAGGTGTGCAGAGAACTCAGATGGAAGCACATCTGGATAAAAAATTAAAATTGACAACCTCCAATATCAAAGGCCAAGAAAGCAAGCTATCATCCCCCTCCATACTCATGGTTTAGAAAGATGAACCAAAGGTGCCTCAGATATCTAGAATTTAATACTCTCCCTTCTTCAGTGGGTCTGTTATTTTTATTTCCGTATAGATATTGGGGGGGTAAGAAAATACTAAAAGATAGACAAGAGAACTAGCATGGCATTTTCTTTTGTTTTTCCAGAGAGTACTGGAAGGACATGTATTTGATGTGAATTGTTGCAGGTTTTTCCCATCAGGCCTTGTGGTTCTGAGTGGGGGAATGGATGCACAGGTGAAGATTTGGTCAGCAGAGGATGCCAACTGCGTAGTGACCTTCATTGGTCACAAAGGAGGTATGATGAGTGGTTCTTCCAGACGCTTCACTTAGGGCCCCCAGTAACACACCATGATTTAGAAACAATTTTTTTCTATTTTTCCCTGAAACAAATAATCTCTGATGAAGTAACAACAGCCTGTGATTTGCAGTAGGAAATCCTAGGTTTGAATCAGGACTCTGCTGCTCACTACTGATGTGAACATGAATATGTTCTTTTTGCTTCCTGGGCCTTGTTTCCTTGTTTATTGAGGGAGAGAGAAATTTATGATCATTTTATTTGTGTTTTTAGTAATAACATATATATAGGGTCTTTGCAGAGAACTTCCAAGTATATACAAATATCAAATCTCTCTTAGACAGGTGGCAACCTGCATTTCTGCAACACTGAGGCCTCTTAGGTAGTACTGGGAACAGATTGAGCGTTTTGACCTGCTTTCCAGGCTAGTTTTCTTCACCGAGGGTTATACTAAAATATGTATTATTGAATACACATAAATCCATGTGGAGAGATTGTTAATGATTCAAACTGATGTCAAAAATGTACTATAATAAATTTGGGAAATCATTATATGTTTTACATCCAACTAAAACAGGAAGGATTTTCTCAAATGAAAATATTTTATTTGGCACAGTGCTCTAGATAGAAAAGAAATTCTAAACAACTAGTCAGTTTAATATGTGAACATAATGGCAGTAACCAGTGCCCAAATAAGATACTTCATAGGAGACAAACCCAAAAGGAATCTGAGTGATAATAAAGTGAAAGACTAAACTTGTGTTTGAAAAAGCACCATTCGCAGTTTATCAAAGCAATATGCATTTCAGAAAATGTATGGAAATAATATTTTGTAAAACTATACCTAGAAAAATACTTTGGCTAGGTTTGTAGTCAGTCATTCAATTTAAATTTATTAAGTATTTACTACGTATCAGGCATTGTCCTAAGTATTGGGAATACAAAGAAAGGCAAAAGACTGTTCCTACTCTCAAGTTACTCACAGTCGAATGGTATGCAAACAACTATGTGCAAGCAAGGATAAAGTGGAGATACTCAACAGAGAGAAAACACTAGAATTAAGGTGGATCAAGAAAGGCTTTCTATAGAAATTGGCAATTTGGCTGGGACTTGAAGGAAGCCAGAATTCCTGGCATTGAGGACACTGGTGAAAATGCCTGAAGTTGAGAAATGGATTGTCTTGTGAAAAGAATAGCCGTGAGACCAGTGTCACTGGATCACAAAGTAGATTAAGGGAGCTTGAAGTGTGGGAAGACTGAAAAGGTAAGGGGGAGGTAGGTTATGGAGGGATTTGAATGCTAAAACAGAGTGTTTAGGGGTGCAGTGGATAGAGCACTGGCCCTGACAGTCAGGAGGACCTGAGTTCAAATCCGGCCTCAGACCAAACACTTGACAGTACTAGCTGTGTGACCCTGGGCAAGTCACTTAACTCCAATTGCCCAAAAATAAATAAATTAATTAAAATAGACAGAGGGTTTATATTTGTTCCTAGAAGTGATAGGGAGAAAATAGAATTGATTGATTAGGGGGAGGAGGGGATGTGATCAGAACTATGCTCTAGAAAGATATTTTTCAACTTCTATTAACATTACAATGAAGATAATTGTTAGTTTACTCTCTTTGCATGAAGACAGCAAAAGAGTCATGTTTCATCCATGGGTACAGGAATTTTAGCTGATGCCTGTTAATCTCAAATTAGCCTCAGTTCATTAGATTTGTGAATGGTCTGAGTTATTGCTATAGGTTTTTTATGCTGTAAATATTTTCTAGTATGAGTTGCAAGTGCCTAATCTTTCCCAAATGCTTCTAAGTTAGTCCTTCTTTTCTCTAATTCGTTTATTACCTCTGAAACATCTTTGATAACTTGCTCTGGCTTCTAAACAGACAGTTGTAATCTTTTCTGCAAGAAAAAGCATTGTCTTGCAATATCTAGAAGATTCTGAATTCATTGACTAACACCCATTCAAATTTCTTCCTCATCCATGCTGTTAACATAGTCCTGCCTCACCAGGTTGCAGAACAAACTTTAGAAGATGCTTCCAGCTTTTGAGCTAAGGAGGTGTTCAGGTTCCTTGGCCCTATAGTGGAAAAGGACCCAGCGGCTGCACATCCTTGCCAAGGAAGATGTCACCTTGGGGCTGCCTTTTCTGTTGCACTAAACTGTTTCTACCAGTTCTACATCTTATGAGCTGACCTATTAGGCTGGGAGTCATTTTGCCAGGGAGTTTGAAATACATGTCATTGACCCCAACATTCACTTCTTATAAAAGTCCTCCAGACTCCTTGGGAGGATGTAATTAGCAGAGAATATCCTCAGAAAGTCATTTACTTCTATGCTAGAGAAAAAGGTGCTTGGCTATATTTCCTTGTTATTAGTTCATCCTCAGAACTAAGAGTAAAGTCAAACTTGGCATTTTGAATACCAATGCTTGTTAGGACCTTATCGACAATCAAGTCCAACCCCTTCATTTTACAGACCAGAAAACTAAGGTCCAAAGAGGGGAGAATAATTGGCTAAGTGTCTCACAGAGATTCAGGACAGAACCAAGATGAGGATTCAGGCCTCCTGTCTTCTTCTTGTCCTGTACTCATCTCAGTGCACCATACTGCCTAGGCAATAACTACATTTTCCAAGGAGTTAATGTTTATTCTGACTATATGCATGCATATTTTAATTGCCCACAGTACACCTCAGTGGATGATTCATAGCTGTGCATACAGATTACAACCACTCCATGATTTTTATTTGATTGATGCTTGTTCGTGTCTTGGCAAAAACCCACTACAAAGGAGCCACCCAGCCCCCTCGAGGTCTTCCATATGTTCTTTTAATATTCACTGGACCACTAGTCCTGCTTCCAGCCTGTCCTATGGCTGTCCTCCAAAGGAACAAATCTCAGAGAGAGGTGATCTTCCCATCTTGTCTATAGGGACTGCAACTTGTGCCTTCTTAGCAGCCACAGGTCCAAGAAAGATCTCACCACTGTGGTCCTTGGTGCCTGTCTTGGTGCCTGTCAGAAATGAATATGTTTTTATCAGTGGGAATGACCTTAAAGAAGATGTTTTGCAGCTGTGACCTAGGGACTGCTGAGCCTTTCCAGCTAACTCATAGCAGAAACCTCGTATTTATTTTGTCTTCTCCATTAGGATGTGAGCTTCTGAAGAGCAGGGATTCTCTTGCTTTTCTGTTTGTATCCCCAGCATGCTTAGCCCAGTGATTTGCACACAGTAAGCACTTAATAACTGCTTTTTCATTCACTGATGCATCCCTCAGGAGGGCAGTCCATCTGTCATTCCTTACTCTCACTACGTGACCAACCTCTCTCCTTTTGCACTTCTGTGTGATTGCTGATGTCTTCTAATAACTGACATAAATGTATTCCTTGAGAGTTTACAAAGTGCTTCACATACACCCTCTCATTTTAATCTCACAACCATCCTTCGAGGTGAGTACTACAGGTGTTGTTATCCCCAATTTTAAAGACAAGGAAGTTGAGGCTCAGCAAGGTTATGACTTCAGGTCTTCCTGATTCCAAGTTCAGCACTATCCCCTCCATTAGTGCTGGGGCCCAAGTCAACATTGTAGTAGACTGCTTACACTCATGGCTTTCTGTTGCTTTTTTGGTATATGTGCAGTGTAGCACTGTACCAACTGAGACCTGGTAAAGACAATGTCCCTTTTGCTCATTACCTAAGGCTTTGTTTGAAGAAATAACTTAGGAGGCTATTAGCCTTTCTCAGGCACATTACAGGTACGATAAAGGTTGCCATGCATTTGCTTCTCTCCTCAGAGGTGTTGTCACCCACTTAGTGTGTTAACTTTCTTTGTCAGGAGATACTTTATATTTGATCAGTCTCTGAGTTGGAAGTGCTCTTTGTCTATAGGGCCCACTTAATAATACGCTACCTTGCATTTTTGTCTTTATTGTTGTTTAATTTTTTTATGCATTTTTGTCTTGTTTGAAGGAAGGGAGATGCATCTTCTTTGAATCACTCTTGGTACCTTACATATTTAATGATGATGATGATGACACTTGATAATATATAAAATTAATTTGCAGAAGACTTCACAGGTTTGGTTTGTTTTTTTTGGGGGGGCGCCAGCCTTTTCCTATATCTAATTCGTTTGAGATTACCAAGGACTGTGAAAAGGGAAAACAGTTGTTATTATAGACTGGGGTTTTGGAGATGTTGAATGACGTACAAGATGAGCAGCAGCTGAGCATAGTGGATAGTGATCTAGGCTCAGAGTCAGGAAGATCTGGGTTCAAGTAGAGCCAGGGACATGTGATGTCCAGGGGTGGGGAACCTGTGGCCTGCTAGGTCCTCAGGTGCAGCCCTTTGACTGAATCTAAACTTCACAGAACAAATCCCCTTGATAAAAGGGTTTGCTCTGTGAAACTTAGACTCAGTCAAAAGGCCATACCCAAGGACCTAGAAGGCCATACGTGGCTTGCCCTTATGCAACTCTTGAAGCTGTGTTGCACAAAAGGCCGATTATTAGTAGAAGGGGTTTCTTCACATCAGTGAAATAGCAGTTGGTCCAAACAACAACAAAAAAGGTGATGTGGTTAATAAGAGTCAGAGTTGGAATTAGAATCCAAATTTTCTGACTTCTTGTCTGATACTGTTTTCATTGCATTATGTTGTCTTCTGTAGCAGGTGCTCAAATCCTATTTGTTTTCATTTGTATCCATACAGCAGTTACAACTTGCACATTTATTATCTCATTTTATCTTCCCGACAGCTCTGTGACATATTATGTAAGCAGATAATGTAGCCTGTAGCTCATAGAATCATAGGATTTGTAGATGAAAGAAATCTGATTTATTGTACACAAGCACTCAGTAAATGCTTTGAAAGTAAATTGATTCATTAAGCACACCATTAGATAATAAACAGATTAATACACCTAAAAGTTAGTGCTGTAATTGGATAGTAGTCATTTCCAAGAGTTTAATTGTAACCTAACTTTTTTGCAAAGCATTTTCTCTTCACAGCATTTTGTGAAGTTGGTAGTGTGAATATATTTTCAGCTGGCAGTGGGGTCTGTCATATTGCACTGAGGAGGTCAGGTACGATGCTTAGCTTTTGACAGAATGGGTGGGTTTATAGCAGTGAAATTATTTTTCATTTCAGCATGGAAAGCATAGTGCATGCACTTAACGAATCTTTGATTTTATTTATATTCAGTGATACCCACAAGGATACCTATCCCCAGGCTGCTGATCCTATTTAGGATGAAGCGTGGCTGCCTCTGGCTCTCCTTCCAGCCCTCCAATTCATGCTTGTTTCGGTGCTCAAGGGGTGAAGTGAAGGGGCACTTCTCCTAGAGACTCACATCACCTAATGCTGATACAAATTATGAAACACTCATAGCTATAGTACCACAAAATCAGGCTGGATATCTGTGGATTTTTACCTGAGGAGGTCCCCTGATTCTCATATCTTATCTTCATTCTCTCACTCAAAAGATCTGTGCCTTCAAGTCTTTGGTCATGATAGTTGAGGGGGTGAAAAGGGGGCTGACACAGCTCGTGATAAGCCTTCCAAGTTTTTATTAACACAGCATATTTATGGGGGTATCACCCACTTACATGGCATTTTATTAGGCATATACAGAGAGTATGAAATGGTAGGGACTTTGTACAGTGTGACTGTCTTTAAAAAATCAGGAATATAACAAGCCAGCAGAAGTGTTACAATATATATGTATGCTATTTTAATCAGCAGATATTTATCATATGTCTGCTTTGTACCTGACACTGTGTTGTGTGCTGGAAATACAAAGACAAAAGTGAAATAATTCCTGCCTTCTAGAAGCTTATATTCTAACGAGGAAGCCAACATGTAATACATACATGCATATATACATACATGCATATAAATTCACACAAAATAAATGTAAGATAATTAGGAAGCAAGGTTTTTAACAGTTGGGCTCGGGAAAAGAGGTTTTATATGGAAAATGGTACCTGAGCTGAATTTCTAAGTAAAGGATTCCATAAGGGATAGGCAGGAGAGGGTGCATGTTAAGCATGAGGGATAGTCAGTATAGAGGTATGGAGATAGGAGAGGGAATGTCATACTGGAGGATCAGCAAGTAGGCCAATATGACTGGACCACAGAGTAAAAGGAGGGGAGTTATGTGTAATGAGGCTGCAGAAAGTAGATTGGAGCCAGATTGTGAAGGGCATTCAAAATAAAATAAAAGAATTTGTGTTTTATCCTAGAGGCAATAGAGAGCTCCTGAAGTTGATTAAGTAGGACATTGACATGGTTATATCTATGCTTTAGGAAAGTCAGTGTCAGCTGCGTGCAGGATGAATTGGAATAGGGAGAGACTTCAGGCAGAGCCATAAATTAAGAGACCATTGCAGTAGCTTGGATGAGAGGTGAGAAGGGCTCTGAACTAAGTTGGTGACTATATGAATGAGGGAGGTGGATACAAAATATGTTGTAGAAATAGCAAGATTTGGGGCAGCTAGGTAGCGTAGTGGATAGAGCACCAGCCCTGAAGTCAGGAGGACCTGAGTTCAAATCCAGACTCAGACACATAATACTAACTAGCTGTGTGACTCTGGGCAAGTCACTTGACCTGAATTGCCTCACTCAAAAAACAAAGGAAATAGCAAGATTTAGCAACTGATTAAATTTGTTGGGAAAGGGAGAGTAAGGAGTTGAGGATAACACCAAATAGTGAACCTGGGTAGCTGGAAGACTGTTGATGTCCCAACAGAAATAGGGAAACTTGGAAGGGGTTTGGGTTTGGTGAGAAAGATTAATTAGTTCTTATTTTTAAAAGTATTGAGTTCGAGATGTTTGTGGGACATCCATTTTGAAATGCCTAATAAATTATGTAGGACTGGAACTTAGGAGTCTAAAGCTGAATATACAGCTCTGAGAGTAGCAGGCAAGAGAGGTGAAAATTAAATCCATATTTCATTATGTGATTGACAAGACAGATTGAAGAGGGGCCAGAAGAGAGTCTTGGTGTATACCCACAGTTAGGGGACAGGATATGGAAGATGAGCCAGCCAAGAGCCTGAGAAGAAGCAGTCAGACAAGTAAGAAGAATACCAATAGAAAGAAGAACCAACAGACCCAGAAAGGAGAGAGTATTTAGGAGAGGATGATCACTGTCAAATGTTGTAGGGAGATCAAGAGGATACCTATTGAGAAAAGACCCTCAGATTTGGCAATTAAGAGGTCACTGGGAAAGACTTCAGAACGCTGATCAGTACAGTGATCACTCATGACTTCAGAAGATTGTTGATGATGAAATGATCATTGCACCTCTTTCTTGGCAAAAGGGTGATGGACTAGAAGTACAGAATGAGACTTGTATTTGCAGACATAGCCAATATGTTTGTTTTGCTAGGCTGTAATTATTTGTTACAAGGGAGAGCTTTCTATTTGGGAGAAGGAAGAAAGTTCATGAGTAGTAACAGAGGTGGGAAAAAAGGATAAAAAGAAAGAAAATATCAATGACACATTAAAAATACATGGAATAGAACAGAAAGAAGGTTTGTAAGGAGACACAGAAAAGCAAAGCAATTTTGTTACTACCAGGTTAAATTTAATATATGCTTAAAAACACAAACTTTATGTTAGAATTTCACAGTTTCACATACAGTCCTCTTTTCTGTTCTTTGGGTATTGAGCCATCTGTTTTCAGTTCATAATGAAAAAGAAAATAATTTTTGAAAGAACAATCACTGGTAATTTTTTAGTAGAAATCCTTAGAGATTCTGCTGTAATAAAGATGGTTTATAGATTTACATTACGTTGCAGCTGGGAATATGGGGAAACTTATGACCAGTAAAGGAAGTGATTTGCTTAGTGTGTTACTTCTAGGTCCTTTCTTGATTGAGGCTTTCTAGGGTTAGAAGTAACACAAATTCGAGCTTTCCAAAGGAACATAGGCTTCATGTTTAGAAAGATACATCCCTCTGTCTTTTCAGCCTTATGATACCTGCAGGAATTGCTCTTCCCAAAGCCCTTCCTCTAAATGTCACTCAGACATCGGTATTGTCTCTGTTGTTGCTTATCCTTATTATAATATAATTGACATGATTATTCATATGCCTAGTCCAGATGCATGTGAGAAAATTCTCTGTCATCTCCTGAATGGCCAGGATGGTAGTGCTTGTGAATCAGTGACTTGGTTAATTTTCTGGTAACCTTGACCTTTACTCTGTAGATTTGGCATTCCTAGGGTCTCCTGGAGGTTGGCCCTTCTCTTGATTATATCCGGGGAATCTGACCAAGTAACCACTTCAAGGACCTATCCACTTGTATTTCTTGAGATAAAATGCTTTAAAAATTAGTGAGTCTAGACATTTCTAAAACTAAGTAAGCTAAGACTAAAAAGGAGGTGGTTACTGCCCAAGCCCCTTTTCCTCTCTCACTACCCTCTACCCTAGTCCTGTCTGAACTACCCAGTACATATTATGTCTGAGATCCAGATTAACATAAAAAAATTGGCATGCCATTAAAACAGTTTAACAAAGCTGACATTAAATGTAATTTAAATTAAATTTTAAAAGATAATTCTTAACTGTTGTTATAACTCAACTTGAGTTATAGCTTAGAATCAGATCCTTTCTAAGACTGATACATTGCCTGGGGGCTTCGTGGCAGCTTGATATCTAAAGTCATGTAAGTTCTGCATCAGGCTAGCTGGAATTAATCCCATATAACTTTCTATTATAGCAGGGCATCTCTCCTCTTTCTTTCCTTTATTTTAATCAGCAAAAGGAAAAATAAAAATTTCCCTGTTGCCAAAAGTATTCTGTGCTTACATTATTGTAGAATCATAGAATATCGGAGCTGAAGGCAACTTCAAGATCATTTAGTTCAAACTCCTCATTTTATAGAGGAGAAAATTGAGGCTTAAAGTGATTAACTGCAGTGTCTTGCAGCTGAAGGAGGCTAGCACTGCTGTGCCATCTGTGTGGGCTTGATGTAGACCTCTGGGAATCTCTGTGTTAAAAGGAAAGGGTGGTTTGGACAAGATTCTTTGAAGGCCTCTTCCAGCTGGAAACCTGTGAACCAACTTGCCCCAAATCTGTAAATGTGCTAGTAGAGATGGAGTGTGGTCCCAGTCCTGTCAGCCCAAATATTTCTGTTCCATCAAGATTACACACCTGGTTAGGCAAGGTCAAGATAATAATAATACACATTTTCACTTACATAACAGCTTAAGCTTTATGTCGTATGTCTATCCATTCATCCCTCTCCCCCGACACACACACACACACACACACACACACACACACACACACACACACGTGTGCACACACACACAGACATATGCTTCATGTTATATAAATACTTTCTTCATGGTTAGCTAGTAAGTTCCTAGGCTAGGAGTAAGACTCAGGTATTCCAGTCCTAACTTCTTTACAGGGGTGCTAAAAATCAGACAAGGTAATGAATATGGAAAAGTGCTTTCAACAGTATGACATTCTGAACCAAATATAAGGTAATATTCTCAGCATGATTTCAAAAACGTTGCTTTCTTAGCATGGGGAGGGTTGTTACTGAAGCAGCATGTTTTCCTAGGATGTTAGACCGAAAAAAAAAAATTTAGTCCAGAGAAGTCAGTTTACTCTGACAGTATTAATGCTTTTATGTCTTTATCTTTACTTAGCGGGCTCCTGGGCCCTCTTTCTTTCATCTTAGAGGCTTTTCTTTTTTCTCTTGCTAGGTATCTTGGATACAGCTATTGTTGATCGAGGAAGAAACGTGATTTCCAGTTCTCGAGATGGGACTGCTCGGCTTTGGGATTGTGGGCGATCAGCCTGCCTGGGCATCATTGCAGATTGTGGCTCTCCTGTGAATGGCATTGCTGTGGGTGCAGCTGACAACACCATAAATCTTGGCTCCCCTGTGAAAGTTCCCAGTAAGTATGTATGGTTGGCATCTATTCTGGTTCTGAAAAGCAGGTATCATTCTGACTCGCTAAGCCTCCCTCTCATTATGGTATAGATAAGTGGCACAGTGGACAGAGTGCTGTACCTGGAGTCAGGAAGACATGAGTTCAGATTCAACCTCACACACTTACTTAGCTGTGTGACCTTGGACAAGTCACTTAACCACTTTTGCCTCAGTTTCTTCAACTGTAAAATGGGGAAAAAAACAACCGTGCCTCACAAGGTTGTTGTGAGCATCAAATGAGATGATACTTGAAAGTGCTTAGCACAGTGCCTGGCACTGTTGTTGTTGTTATTTCTCACCATAGTCTCTGAGGTACTTTTTCTAATCCCTGTTCAGTTTTTATTACTCAGTTTCAGTTTTCCATCTGCCTTGAAGCCAGTAAGTCTGTTTTCAGCAGTCAGTAAGTATTGGAGTATCTATGCTGTGCTTCACCTCAGTGAGAGAGATAAAAGAAGGGCAACATTTGTCCCTATTTGTAGAGACCACACTGTCTAGTCGGACAGGTAGGATGAACACCCTGGTGATAAAGAACACTAAAGAGCTAAACTGAGCAGTGCTTACTGTACGATAGAATGATAGCTAATAGGAATTTGAAAAAGGAAAGCATTGGTGTGGGTTGGAGTAGTTACTTCACCACACAGGTAAATGAATGAAATATTTTATTTTCTGTATTATAACTAATAAGTAAGCAGAGTTCATTCAATTTATATCACACTATCCATATCCTTTTTGCTGTCATCTACAGATCTTCAAATCACTACCCTTTCTTTCTCAAGGAGTTTAATACCTAGAGCATAGTCTTCTTCATTCCAGCCCACGCCCTCACCCTTTAGCATTTATGTTGATGTCCTTCTGGCCTCCCAGTTCATCAGCCTTATCAGCTGCCACGACCTCCACTTCCATTCTATCTGAGCCATCCAAGGGATGGACATCATAGACCCTCAAACCTGTGTCACCTTAGTGATGTGCTGGGGTGCTGCGTAGTTCAGCATTTATTTGTTTTAAAATAATTTCCTGTGTGTTCATTTTACCTCTTCAGCTAGATCATACGTTCCTTAAGATCGGGGGCCAGTCTCATCTTTCTTTTCTCTACATAGTAAGATAGTTAGTACTTGTTGATTGGTGAATGCTTAAACATGAGATGATAAAGTTAAGATTTAAAAAGATCTTGGCAGACTGGAAAAGTAGGCTGACTCTAAGAAGATGAAATTTTAGAAGGATAAATGTAAAGTCTATTTGGGCTCAAAAAATCAATTTTATAAGTACATGATAGGGGTTAGGCAGCAGTTTGTCTGGAAAAGATGTAGGGGTTTTGGTCTACTATAAGCTCTTTATGAGTCAACAATGTGTTAAAAGCAACCAAAAACGCTAATGCCACTTTGGTCTACAATGAGACACAGCTCTCAAGAATAAGGAAGTGAAGGGCAGTTAGGTGGGTGCTCTTCAGTTGGAGAATGGCTGAACAAGTTATGGCATATGATTGTTGATGGAGTACTGTGGTGCTATAGGAAATGACAAGGGAGATGGTTTCAGAAAAACACAGTAAGACCTATATGAACTGATATAAAGTGAAGTGAGCAGAACTGGGAGATCATTATGCACAGTAACAGCAATGTTGTACTGATGGTCAATTGTGAAAGACTTGGTTGCCCTGATCAATACAGTGATCCAAGACAATTCCAAAGAATTCGTGATGAAAAATGCTGTCTACCTCTAGAGAGAGAGCTGATAATCTCTGACTACAAACTGAAGTATAATTTATCACACTTTGTTTTTCTTCCTTTATTTTTTTGGCAGTATGGCTAATATGGAAATACGTTTTGTGTGATTTCACATGTATAATTAAGATCATATTGCTTGCCTTCTCAGTGGGTATTGTATGGAGTGGGAGGATGGGAGGGAGAGAATTTGGAACTCAAAATTTTTTTTAAAAGAATGTTAAAAATGATAAATTAAATTTTTTTTAAATTAATGGAATCTGAGAGGGTAAATAATGTGATTCCCTTCTGCTGAAATTATGTTTGAATATGTTCAAAAATCATTAATAAATTTTGACATGTTTTTCAGAAAAAAAAAATAAGAAAGTGGTAGCCCCATTGTTCAGGTCACACCTATAGTATTGTGTTTCGTTCTAGGCACCAGATTTAGCTAGAATATCCATAATAGGGAGGGTGTCTGCAGAAAGGCAGCTGGAATGGTGAAGGTCCATGACATTTGAAGATTCATGTTTTGTTTTTGTTTTTGCTAGGCAGTGGGCAGTTTTTGCCCAGGGTCACCCACCTAGTAAGTGTCAAATATCTGAAGCTGGATTTGAACTCAGGTCCTCCTGACTCCAGGGTCAGTGCTCCACCGTGCCCCAATTTGAAGATTGGTTGAAGAAAATGGGGATGTTTAGACTGGAGAAAGGAGGACTTTGGGAGTGATAGTTGTCTTCAGGTTTGGGATGCTGTTATATAGGAGAGGGGTTAGACTTTGTCTGAGTGGCCTTATAGGGGAAGAACCAGGAGCAGTGGGGGAAAGTGAGACGAGGCCGATTTAGAGCTTACCTCAGGAGAAGCCTCCTGACATCGACAGCTCTCCAGCAGTGCCAGCAGTTCCCGTGGCTTCATGAAAGAGCGGCTTTGTTGTCACGGGAGGTCTTCAGGCAGAGGCAGAGCCATCTCTTGTGTCTGTGGTGATGGCAATTGTTTTTCAGATACTAGTCGGACTAGGTGGCTCCTAAGAACCCCTTCCAGTACTAAGATCCTCATCACCTGGAGGACCCACTGTAAATCCTGCCTGACACTTCAGAGCTCTTTACAACGTGGCCCTCTCCATCCCTTACAGTTTTATACAGTCTGTCTCCTCGACTCACTCTAGGTCCAGCCACAGTGTCCACACGTGGTATTCCTCACGTGTGATGCTCCATGCCCCATTTCTGTGCCTTTGTACTGACTGCCTCCCATGCCTGGAAGGCTCTCCCTCCTCACCTGGGCCTCTTGGAATTCCTGGTTTCCTTCAAGGCACAGCTCACATGCCATGTCCTAAATAAAACTTTTCCTGATCCTTCAAGCTTCCCTTTCCAAACTGCGTAGTATTTATGTTGCATATGTTCTGCACATACTTATATTTATACTTACTGTTTTCCCCATTAGACCAAGTTTCACCTTGTCTTTGTACCCCCAGTACTTAAATGTAATGCCTAGCACATGCTGTGCTCTTCATAATTGCTTATTGATTGCCTCTCTTTCCTCAATACCTGTTTCCTTCTTACCCTTTGCAGTATGGCTTCTAATCCGCTCATTTGCTGAAATTACTTTTTCAAGGGTTGCTAATGATCTCTTCTCTCTCTGGTCAAACTCCATTATTTTATTTTTGTTTTTTATAATACTGCCATTTCTAGATTAACCCTTACCCACTTCTTCCACACTGAATATTCCCTTGTGACAAAGAAAAACAGTTATGGAAACGAATACAGTCACCTCATCTGACATTATATGCAGCATTCCATACCCACAGCCTTCACCTCTGTATTAAGAGGAGGGTGTAATGTTTTGTTCTTTGTCCTCCCAAGACCAAGACTGGTCATTACTGTTACTCAAAGTTTGGACTCCTTTTAGTGTTTTTTTTGTTTACATCATTATAGTCATTGTGTGTATATTGTTCTCCTTACTTCTCTACATTAATTCATATAAATCTTCCCACAGTTTTCTGAATTCTTCATATTTTAAATTTCTTATTCTGTTATATTCACATGCCATAGTTTGTCCAGCCATTCCTGAGTCAGGGAACCCACTTTGTTTCTAGTTTTTTGCCACCACTAAAAGTAATATTATAAAGCTCTGGGGGCCAATAATCTCTTAATTACTAGAGCTAATAATCTTAATTACTGAAAGAGGTCCAAATCCTTTTTCACACTTGTGTTGCTTTTGACATTTGATTTGTCCTTCCACTTGGATATCCTTTCCTCCTTTCATTTCTGCTCTCTCCTGGTTTTCTTATAATTATAGATTTAGAGTGCATCTAGTCCAACTTTCTAATTTTACAGAAGAGGAAACTGAGGCCCATTTCCATGAAGTGTTTTCCCTGTTTTCACACAAGTAGTTTCTGAGGTTGATTTTGAATGCAGGTCTTCTGACTCTGAAGCCAGTACTTTTTTTTTTAAGGCAGTTGGGGTTAAGTGACTTGCCCAGGGTCACACACCTAGTAAGTATCAAGTGTTTGGTCCAAGGCCAGATTTGAACTCAGGTCCTCTTGACCTCAGGGCTGGTGCTTTATCCACTGTGCCACCTAGCTGCCCCAGTACTTTTTCTTTTTAAAAATAGTTCCTTGGGGCAGCTAGATGGTGTATCGGATAGAGTACCGGCCCTGGATTCAGGAAAACCTGAGCTCAAATGTGACCTCAGACACTTCACACTTACTGGCTGTGTCACCCTGGGCAAGTCACTTTACCTCATTGTCTCCCCCCCAAAAAAAATAGTTCCTTTATTTTTATCAGCTAAGATCTGGCTTCTCACTCTCCCATCCCACCCCCCAGCATATATATAGTCAATTAAAATAAATTTCCACATTGGTCATATCAAAAAAAAATTATCCTGTTCTGCATTCTGAGTTCTTACCTCTCAGGAGGTGAGTAGTGTGTTTCTTCATTAGTTGCCTGGAATTCTGATTGGTCGTTATGATGGTAAGAGTTCAGCGCAATAGTATTCTGTCACATTTGTACACCATAACTTGTTCATCCAGTCCCCAATTTATTGACACCCATCAGATTCTCAATTTTTGCCACTGCAACAAGAGTTATAAATATTTCTACAAATTTCTACAGTTTGTTTTGTTTAGGATTAAGCCTCCCTCTAATTCCCTCTCCCTTTTACCCTTTTCTTTATTTCCCTGTTGAGTGAAATGTATTTCAGTACCCAACCATGTGTTTGTGTATTTATTCTTCCTTCTTTTGACTAGTTCAAATAAGAGGAAGTTTCAAGTGTTAGCTGCTTCCTTCTATCCTGGCCTCATTTGTATAGATTTTTACTTGTGTACCCTGATTATGAGATAATTTTCCCTGACCTGTTTCCCCATGTCCCACACCCCACAACCATTACAATTCTTCTTCCTCTCTCTTTCTGCTCTTTTCTTAAGATTATTAAGACGTAACGGAACTACTTTCATATTTTTTCTAGTTGGACTCCCTCTGTGGCCTCTGATGATGATAGCGTTCAGAGAGGGCACATATATGTTATCTCCCTGTATTTGAATATCAGAATCAGAGTCAATAAATATTTACTTATTAAATACCTATTATGTACCAGGCATTGTGCTAAGCTGGAGACACAAAGAAGCTGAAAAGTGAGGGCAAGGGGTAAGGGCAGAGAATGATGAAATTATACAGCTGAGTTGGGAAATAATCCAAGGACATGGGGGTTTCTGAGTTAATTTCATCTTGCGTAGTGATGAGTATCTGGAGATGGTGAAGTGCAGGAAAGTAGCCAGGTGGGATATAATGAAAATTCCCTGGGTGCCATCCTTAAAAAATGGAGGATCTGGGAGAAGCTCTCCAATGTTCATGCTCTACCATCTTGGCTCCATTTCTGCCAGTGTTCTTACTACACTAGCCATCCTTTTTTAATCTCATTTGCCAGTTCATCACCCCCTGCATCCTAAGCATGTGTTATAAAACTTTGTCCTAAGCCCTTGTCTCTCTTCATTCTCACTTCCATCCTTGGTTCCCTTCCACTCTCATGTGTTCATTTATAACCTGTATACAGATGTCTCCCTTATCTACGTATTCAGTTTCTTCCTTGAACTCCAATGCTATATCACCTGGACATTGTTAGCTGGATGTTTGTTTTTTTTTCCAGCATGGTAGCAAATGTTTTCCTTTTAATAGTACAGTATATACAGTGTGAATTTATGATGACTTCTTTTTTTTGCTTTTTTTGGTGAGGCAGTTGGGGTTAAGTGACTTGCCCAGGGTCACACAGCTAGTACGTTTCAGGTGTCTGAGGCTGGATTTGAACTCAGACCCTCCTGACTCCAAGACTGGAGCTCTATCTGCTGTGCCACCTAGCTGCCCCACTCATGATGAGTTCTTGAAAAACTTCATTTAGGGGCAGCTAGGTGGCGCAGCGGATAGAGCACCGGCCCTGGATTTAGGAGGATCTGAGTTCAAGTCCGGCCTCAAACACATAACACTTACTAGCTGTGTGACCCTGGGCAAGTCACTTAACCCCATTGCCTAACTAAAAAAAAAAAAAGAAAAGAAAAAAGAAAAATGTCATTTATACAGAATCATACTACAAAATTAACATTTTAATGAAATCAAAGAGACTATGCATATATTCAGAAATGTAAACACATTTTACCACTGCAGACAATGGACATCCAAATTTTTAAAAAACTTTCCATTCTGGAATAAAAATATATATTTACTATATAGTTGTAACTACCATTTAATCATTTTGTTTGAAAATCTTCATATTTGGAGAAATTTTCAATTAATTACCTCTTTTGAAATTCTGGTTAATAGTGCCACCGACTGGCAATGAAGATTTTTAAAAGAGGAGTGTTCTTAAGTGTCACAAAAGTTTTGTCCTTAAAGTTACTGAGAAAAAAAAACACAAGTCACTAGAACCAGTATGCACAAGAACAGTAAATCACAGTGAATGGAAAGATGACATATAAAATGTTTTCACCAAGGTGCCTTGGAGTATTTAAATGTTTTGTTAAATATAGCTTTACATTTACATGTAAAACTTTGTAGTGAGGAAAGAATTTAAACATACTGTAAAAGGAAAGTTTTTTCCTATTTGAGCATAATTAGATGCATTTGACAGCAACACCGGTTGACATTAGTAATGTAAAAACGTAACCAGAAAACTAATTCCATATAAGATTTTTTAAAGAAAAAAATAAAGTAAGTCTGGTTAGTGCTGAAAAATTTGTAGAACCACAGCAATCTATTTTGATAACATCAAGCATTCCTTAAAAAAAAGAAAAATAAAAAATAGGAATAATTTCCCCAAAGCATCATTGAGCCATCCAGCTATACACATGGACTAACATTTCCCTAACCTGTTACAAAAGGCCGTGTTATTTGTAACAGATGTCCTTAGAACTGAATTCCTGAAAATATAAAACTAAATTGGTATCTTTAATTATTCTATATCAAATCCTTGGCTTGATCAGCTTGACAGAATTGAGTTGTTTAGCAATTACCCTTGAAATAATTTATAAAAATAGGATATCCTGAAGCTGTTTGGATGAACTGTATTCATTTATCAATGACTTACTTGTGGTTAAAAATCATTAGATAAGGGGCAGGTAGGTGGCGCAGTGGATAGAGCACCAGCCTTGGAGTCAGGAGGACCTGAGTTCAAATGTGGCATCAGACACTTGATGTGTGACCCTGGGCAAGTCACATGTTAACCCAGATTGCCTCACCAAAAAAAAAAAATCATTAGATATTTAAATAATTACATTTGTGCATATCTGTCCCTATAAACAAACCTGAATGTATAAATGCACACCCCCCAAAATTCCAAACTGCACAAAATTATGTAATTAGGAAATAGAAGCATATTCCTCGTATTCATGCAGTAAAGAAAACAGGGCACATGAAAAAAAGACATTGCTTAGTTAGGAAGTCATTCAAAAATTACTCCTCTCATTTACCCTGATGCTAAATCTTCCATTTTAAAATCTCAAAACTTAACTGGCTGAGAGATTAAGAATTGAATTACTATGGGAAAATTGTTAATAATTTAATATTTTGTGGTCACTTTTTAAGATGTGATGACCTGTACACGTATATCTATTCCCTACCACCCAAAGGAACTAAAATACTGATACCTAGCTGAAGATACCAGCATATTGGGTCTTTAATGAATATGATTTTTTTAAAGAGCATACACGTTATTTTTTCCAGATCTCTGGACTATCTTTCCCTCCTTGTCTTCTTCCATATATTTAAAATTAGATCAGTCCATACAAATCCTGCTGCACTTGCTTACACAGGCATAAGGTATAAAACCACTGCCCTTTCTTCAACCAGATATCTAGCTGGAATATCTGGATTTTTGTATGCCCTGGTTTTGCTCAGTCCTGATACAGATATATAAGGCTGTAGTGTATATCATTTTAAAAAAGAAAAAGTGAAATATTTTCTTCAAAGGATATTTACTTGTACTTATATTAGAAATAAGAATATGGTCAACATATACTTTCTAATGACTTTCTTCCAAAAACTAACTTCCTAGTAAAGATTTCTCCAAGTGGACATATGTAGACAGAAATACTAGAATAATTCATTTCCATCTCTCATAAATGTAAAAATCTAAAAGCTTATCTACAGAGCACATAATGAAAATATAATTATCTTGGCCTCCTGGATATTGATCCATTATATGGAAAAAAACCTAAAATTATATCTCGTAGATATATCTCTATGACAAGCTGAGCATGGTTTGGTTGCACAGGAGTAAAAATCTGGCTACACTAATAGACACCAGGAGTGTTAATGAAGGCAGTACACATAGCAGTTCATTTAAATGGTCAGAGAATAGCAAGGATGGGTCATATCTAAAAGTTCAATTATGACCTAAATTTGTATCAAACAGGCAAAACACTTTCACTGATTGACAAACAGATCATAACAAAAACTTCAAAATACTACTGAGATCTGTAGCATCTGCTTCTTCTGTAGCTTTTGTCTGTTCACTTGCAAGAGCTTTCTGTTACGTTTGCTTTATCTTCTGTTCCAGTTCATGCTGGTGTTTAATAAGACATTCTATTTCTGTTCATAGTGTTTGTAGATTTTCCTCCAAAGTAATATTTTTAAGTAATGTATCCTCCAAAACAGCCTGTAATTTTCAGTTGCTCTCGTAGGAGAGTTCTAATATCAGCCCACTGTCAGCCAGATGGGAAGTATACGAAGATGCCTTGGTGCCTCCTTATCCACTCAAATGGATCTTGTTAAAATTGGATGCCTCTCATGACGGTGTGCCTGCTTCTTCTCATAAGATATCACTGAATTTTTTCCCCCTATTTTCTTCTACCAATTGCTTTTTATGATCCTCTTTAAATTGAATCTTTTCATTTTTCTGGGCATGAGTTTTCTTCAACCTTACTGTCCTTTCAATCAGCATAGTCTTGTCCACTTCTGGAAAGTTATCCACAACTACAGAGGAGCCAGTATTTTCTCATGATCTATCTTTCATACTCTCACATCATCTAAGTAGTTGATATTTTCGAGTATTAAGGGAACCTGATGAGCTAGAACGACTCGGCATGCTATTGACTTCTTTATTATAACTACCATTCTTAATCTGGTCTAATTTTTCTTGTGCTTGCTGAAGTTGCTTGGTGAGATCCTTGAGATTTAAAGCATGTTTATGTCTTTGAGTAACTAGTTCATCTTTCAGTTCTACTTGAATATTTAATAATTTTAATTCTATTTGTCTAGAAGTCTGTTCAGCTTGCAAAGCTAGGCTTTCATTCTTTTATAGTCTGTCTCATATATCCACAATGACTGTGTAATTGACTTTCAATACAGGAGAGTTTATCAGATTGTGACTGTAAAGAATTAGATTCGCATTGAAGTTGGGTGTTCTTACTAGTTAATTTTTCTGTAAATAGCAACAGCTCAGATTCTCTTTTTCTACTGCCTTCAATATCTTTTTATAGGTCATTAATCAAAGAATTCAGACTCCTCACTTCTTCAGACAAGTTTTCAATTTCTTAATTACCTCTTTGAAGCTGGTCTTGTAATTGCTCTTATAGTTTT